AAGCCGTAGCAATGCGCGAACATGGTGTCGCCCTGCAAGCCGAGGTCGCACAACTTCGCGACCGAAGTTCGACACTGGAATCCTCTGTGTCCCAGTTGCGCCAGTCTCTTCATGACACGCAGGCACAGACCTTCCGCGTGTACCAAGAGGCTGCGACTGCAAGCAGCCAGCTCCAACAATCGCCCCCTCCGGGTGTCAAGCCAGTGAAGCTTGATGTCACCAAATTCGACTCCGACGCCGGCAAGCTCCTCCGGTGGATCTTGCAAGTTGAGACCGCGGCTAATGCGCTGTGCATCACCCGCGTGTGGCGTTTGCCCTTTCCCACCTCAAGGGTCAGGCGGAAGATTGGGCGTACTCTATCCGCCTGACTAACTCCACGTCAGTCGCAACGTTTGACGAGCTCGTTGCGGCGATGAAGCTCCGCTTCCTTCCCCAACACAGCGATTTCCAGTATCGCTCGAAGTTCCTCGCATGCAAGCAAGGCAAACGCTCCTTGCAAGATACACTTTCACGACCTTCGCTTTTTGGCCGCGAATGTCAACGACGACTCCACGCTACCCGAAGCGCTCCGGGTCAACATCTTCATGGCTGGGCTCAACCACGGTCCAGCACGAACACAGCTTTTTCCGTGTCTACCCAGCCTCGTTCGAAGAGACTGTTCGTATCGCCCTTGCTGAGTCGTACGCCTCAGCCTTAGCGCACAATCGTACCGATCCCTCGGATATGGATATCTCGGCATTATCCCATACCAACGACGGCAGGTGCAGTAACTGCAGCCGCAAGGGTCACTTTTGGCGTGAGTGCCGCGCTCCTCGACGCACGCTCACTCCATCTGCACAAGACGCGCGATCCAACCCGACTGATCGCAGTCCGAGCAATCGAACATCCTCTTACGGTGGGCGTCCCCCAAGACGATCTACTGGGCCACCTGGTCCATCTGACCACCAGGCGGCGGGAAACGACAAGGCCCAGTAGGCGCGAGGCGCCCTACTGGGGCACCAATAGGTCTTCCCGAAGTGTGTGGTGTCGTATCACACT